AGCGTCGTGCCACCTGACCCGAGACGGCCCGCCGGCGTCGTACTGAGCGCTTCGAGACCGTGTCCTGATGTGATATGCACGGGTAAATCACGTCGGCGTCAAAGGAGCGACGTGCGACCTGTCAGAGCTTGATCTCCGATCATCAGCTGCCTCTGCGCGTCCTGTGGATGTACCTTTGTCGCGCGCCGGAGACGACTCGACGCCGCTGAGATCGGAGATCAAGCTCTGACAGGTCGCACGTCGCTCCTTTGACGCCGACGTGATTTACCCGTGCATATCACATCAGGACACGGTCTCGAAGCGCTCAGTACGACGCCGGCGGCCCGTCTCGGGTCAGGTGGCACGACGCTCATCGCGCCCGCCAGCGCTGCCGTGCAGGCTGCCACGTCGAGGTCGAGCACGCTTCTATACGCTCGCCGAGCCTTCCTTTCCATCCCATTAGGCAGCCTGGGAACGGTGGCGATCAGAGGCAAAGCCTACGAGGGGTGGTGGAACCACATGTCACGGCTACTGCCGGCTCGACCCCACGATAGCCTCCGAAGGCTGACTTTGAGGCACCATCATCGGACGATGTCGACGAGTTGGGTCGCTCTCGCGGTAGCCAGATGACCTCTCATACTAGGATCATCGGCCATGGCCGCAGGGAGCGCGGGGGAGGGCGCTGGATGCAACACGGAGCTCCGTTGGAGACGTTTTCAAGATTAGCGTGTCAGAGTGAAATGGCACTAGCCTATGCCGTGGTGTTTCTTCTTTTATCGACCATGTAGAGCAAGGCTGACGGTGGGCCCTTTTGCGTTTTGGGCTCGCGCTCGGGCGGGGCATCGGAGCGCGGAGAAGACTGCCGCGACGAAAAGAAGAAAGCGCTAGCGGAGGGGTGTAGCTGGAGAGAGAGAAATTGTGCTGTCTAATAAATAAATTAAACGGACACACCAAACAAGGGGTGGGAGAAGGACAGGGTCCCCACCTGCGCGAGCAGGATCTTGGAAGGACGATCAGGGACACAGGGGAACGGGAGCGGGGAGCGCAGGGTCTCACAGAGTTTGGCCCGCCATGTCAGCGCGCGAATTCTTTATCTTCGTCGCAACCACTCCCAGCTGGGTTCCGGCTCCTACCCAGATAGGGGGTCTGTTCTCCACGGTTAGACCCTATGCAATAGGTAGGTAGGTCCGGTTTTGACCGCCCCAGAGGGCCCCGCAATAGGTAGGTAGGTGGTGGTGGTGGTGGTGGTGGTGGGTGGGGGGGGGGGGGGGTGAAAATAAAAAAACCCCTTCCCTTGCGCGGGAAAAGGGCCCCGCGTTAACCGGAACGGGGCCATGCCAGGGGAATCGCCTGCGTGCGAACCCCCCAAAAGTGCGGGCAAAAAGGCGGCCCCAACCCCAAAAGGGCCCCCCCTCGGCGTTGCTCTACATGGGAACGGATAAAAAGAAAAACACCCCCGGACTGGGACCCCGGCAGTCCAATCGGGACACCCTGTGGTTCAAAAGTCCCCCCCCTCCACGCAGTCGAGTGACTGACATGAATAGGGAGGAAAAAGTGTCCCCCCATATCACCACAGACGCAGCACAGGGGCTCCAATCCTGTCCCCGATGGGGTGCGCCTCTCGCCGCGCGCGTAGCAGTCGGCGCGCGGGAAGCCTCAGAGATGCGCTGAGCGAGAAGCGGGTATCAGCAGACCAAGCCCTGGGCTTGGATGGGCGCGGCGTAGCCGCGGCGCAGTGGATAGCGTGAAGAGCCCACTCACTGTCGTGAGCAGACCGCCGCTACCACGTGCGAGCCCCGCAGAGGCGCGGGCGAGAGGGCGGCCCGAGCCCGAAAAGGGCCCGCCCTCGGCGTTGCTCTACATGGTAACGGATAAGAAGAGAAACACCCCCGGACTGGGACGCCGGCAGTCGAGTCGGGACACGCTGTGGCTCAGACGGCCTGCGGCTGGGACGCCAGCCGAGACTAACGGGTATTCACAGAGGGCTAACGGGTATTTTTTCGCTTCGCTGCGCGGCCTGGGAATAGGTAGGTAGGTAGGGCACGGAGCCTGGCGATTGGCGCCCGCAATAGGTAGGTAGGTAGGGCGTTTTGGTGCGAGTCGTGCAGCAGACCCCCTATCTGGGTAGGAGCCGGAACCCTGCCACTCCTGCTGCCACCTCAGATAATGCGAGTGGGAGTGCTGTGGCGCCTCCCCTGCCTTCTCGCCCTGCTCCTATCGCTCCCACAAGCTGGCTGCCTCACCCTCTGCGGCCGGCGCAGCCTTGCTCCGCTTGCGCTCGTCGCTGCAGCCGCGCCGGCGTCCTGCCTCGCTGCCGAGCCTGTGCCTGCTCCGGCTTGCGACGACGCCTGCATGGCAGCACGCGTAGCGCGGAAGCGCGAGCTTCTCGCCAAACAGGACCGCAAAGCGAAGGCTGGGACGGCTGCGATTTTTGGCGCTGACTGGCAAAAGGGAGTCCGCGAGGAGAAGGCGGCGAGAAAGCCAGATGCTGCCTCGGCGGGTTTCTCGAGTCCGTTTTTGCTCCCAGGCGATGTCGGAGGAGTGAACCTTCAACGCAAGTAGCTCACGGTGGGTCGCTGCTGTGCTAAGGAGTTCGGAATATGGTCTGTCGCTCCGCTGGTGAAAGAGGTAGATGAGATCGAGATCTCGTCCTCACACGTCGACTTCGGACTTGTACGTTGTAGAGCGTATGTGCGATGACGCCAGGGCACGCGCGCGCCCACACCCACCGCCGTGCACCGACACACACCGCTCACCGGCACACACACACGAAAAACCCCTTGGAGACACACGCGGCGTGGTGTGCGCGGCGTGAGGAGAGAGCAGGAGGAGGGGACACCGGTGGGTTACTATAGGGGCCCGCGACGAGGGCGACACGGTAGGACCTAGGACGTAGACACACGAACTGCGTTGAGAGTGTTGCGCTGTCTGACGCGTGCTTACCATTACTTCGACCCGCCCTCCTTGTCCCAAAACGCGGCTCACCGCGCCGGCGGCCCGGCCCTCCTCAGCACCGCGGCGGCCGCCAGAACGGCGGCGGCGGCGGCGGCTGCGGCGACAGCTGCGGTGGCCTGCCAGCCCCACGTCTCGGAGGCCGAGCTGCGGTCGCTCTCGTCCGACCCGACGGATCGCTTCGAGGCGCTCGTCTTCTCCGGGTAGGTGAAGAGGGTGCCAGAGTTGGACCAGCGCAGCGGGGGCGGCCTCCCTCGCCGCGCGCCGGCGGGGGTGGCGGGGCAGCGGCGCGAGCCTCCCGGAGTGGCGAGGAGGGCCTGAGGAGGCGCGAGGGCGCCTCTCCTGAGGGGCTCTACTGAGGGGCGGAGAGAGCGGCGCTCCAGCGAGGCGTGGCGCACCGCGAGGTGGGGCCCGCGCGGCGCAACCTCCTGCGGCACCTCCTTGTGCGCCTGGGGGGCGGAGGAGGGGGGGGGAGTGAGGTTGGTTTCGCTCCTCACCGAGATCCAGCCCCTCCCTCGTCGCCTGGACGATGAAGCCCGAGCCGCTCCGCTGCGCAAGCCCGCCCGGCTGCTCGTCGGCGAAGGTCGCCTGCGGGCCGTGGCGGGGGCGCGTCGGGGACGCGTCGGGGACGCGTCTTGCAGCAGGCTGGCTCGTCGGGCGGAGGGCGCCAGCGCGTCGAGGGCGCTGGAGTGCCACTCCGCGGCTGCGGCGGTGGAGGAGTAGCCGCAGACGAAGAGGAGGCGGTCGCCGCACTCGAGGGCGAGGGTGCCGTCGAGCCTTTGAGAACTCATTGCATGCGAGTGAGTTGGTTGTCCCCCTCAACTCGAGAGGGGCGAAGGTGGCGTCGAGCCCGTCGATTTCGTCGAGCGCGAGCTTGAGCGCGCCGCCTGCGCGCGCGCGGGGGGGGGGGGGGGGGAGCGCGTCGTGGACGTGTCCTGCAGGGCCGTGGGGGCGGTTCGAGGCGCGCCGGCGGCGGTGCGCGAGAGCGCTCCCCCGTCGAGGCGGAGCTGCTTCGCCGCCTGCAGGAAGGTTCCGAGAAGGCTCCACGGCAATGTTCTGCCTTCCGTCGAGGAGGCGCTGCTTCGCTCCTCGTTGAACCAGACGAAGCGGAGCTCCATCGCCGCGCCCGCCGCGCTGCTCTTGACCGGGTCCTCGCCGTAGAGCCACCGCGCAGGGCCCGTGCCGAGCACCACCGGAGGCGTGACCTAGGGTTAGGGTTGGGGTTAGGGTTAGGGTTAGGGTTAGCCCGTGCCGAGCACCACTGGAGGCGTGACCATGTGCTGGCCGACGCTCTCAAACAGGTTTTGCGGGCCGTCGCCGTCCTGGAACTCCCTGAACTGCTGGTGGCTCGGCCACACCGCGATGAAGGCGATCGTGTCGGGCGACGCGGCCGGGAAGAGCAGGAACTCACAAA